GTGTGTGTGTGTGTGTGTGTGTGTGTGTGTGTGTGCGCGCGCGCGCACAGGGTGGACAGCAGCCTACCCCAGCCTCTACCCTCCAGACCACAAGGTCATCGCCTTCCATGTCCCCTTTGTAAGAAGCTTGTTTCGAGTTACAGAAGATGGGGGCTGTGCAGGGCCAGCCTGCTACTTGGGGGTGGCACAGACAGGGTGTCCATGATGGGACAGGATATGGGGTGCAGGTGCCCGTGGCTGACTGTCAGTCATACTGGTTGTCAGAATATTGACATCCCACATACCACCAGGTAAATGGCCGCGGTCCTGAGCGACCCAAGTGCCCTCCCCAGCCCCTCCTGTGGGATTGTCCCGGACTCCCCTGTGTTATACGGCAACCAAAGGGGTGATACCTGTGGGTATCGGTGGGCAGTGGGGCCCCCCGGGAGCCTGCTCCTGCACCTGTGTCCAGTGCCATTCTGGTGGGTTCGTGCCTATGCGGCGTCTGTGCTGTCTTAGCCTGTGGGACTCAGCCTGGCCTCGGTGTCAAATGCGAGCTCCCCGTGGGGACAGCCATGTCATTATCTTCCCTATGTCAACAACCACTTATCCACGCCTGCTCTGTGCCAGGCCCTGGAGATACAAATGTGAGTCGGACCAGCTGTGCCCAGGCTCTGGGACAAGGCTGCACACGCAACGCACAGGCCTGGGAGCAGAGCGCAGGAAGGCAGGAAGCTCCCCTACGGGGCCTGGCTCCCCGAGGAGGAAGGAGGGGAGGGAGGTCAGCTCCCCGCTCCCCCCTCCCCCCAACCCAGGCTGGGGGAGGGGACCGCGGGGAGCCCGGCTGCAGAATGGCCCTCTGGGAGCTGGGAGTCTCCCGGCCTGAAGGTGAGGCCCCCACCTCTCTTGGCAGATGCAGTCCACGTATGTCCTGCAAGGTCTTCACCTCCACATCCCGAACATTTTCCCTGAGTACCCATCCAACAGTTCCGTGGCTCTGAGAGCCGAGGGCAGCAGCTACAAGGTAAGAGACCACGTGGGCGTCCAGCCCCCCACTTCAGGCCCCGCTGGGTGCCTCCTCCTCCTCCGAGAAGAGAAGGAAACGAAGCTTCCACACCCAGGGGGCAGGGGTCCTCAGGGAACGGGAAAAGCGCCTGGGGGATGGGTAAAGCTGTGCCCCAGCCCAGGCATCCTGCCAAGATGCTCAACTGCTCGGAAGAATTCAGGCCGGCTTTGCTCCCACCCGTCTCCGCCAGGCCCTCAGATAGACGCGCCAGGGACCCTCAGTTCTATCCTGAGTCCCCTCACTCTCCGGGACCCCCGGATGCCCAGATGTCTGCCTTCTACCGGGACTTTTCAAACCAGTTCCTTGGCATCTCAAAGACTCATCAAAGGTCCTAGGAGCTGGCAGCTAAATGACATGGGCCGCTATACCTTTGTTCCCGGCCCAGGGAAGACATCACTGATGAACCTTGACATGTTTTCATGCTGGGCCCAAGAATGTACCCGGCAGCCGCTCCCCATTGGTAGACTTAGAGGAACCCATCTGCCCTCCCTGATCTAACCCCATCAGCGACTTCCACGGCTGAGGAATGTGCATTTCAGAGAGGGGAGAGGGCCGACCCTGGCCCACCCAGGGACAGTCTGGAGGCCAGTTCTCCCAACTCCGGCCCAGAGCCCTTTCTGCTCCGCTAGCCTGCCTTGCTTGGCTCCCTCTTGCCCAGATCCCGGAAGCCTGGCTCCTCCTGGCCAACGTCGTGGTGGTGCTGATCCTGGTGCCCGTGAAGGATCATTTGCTCGACCCTTTACTGCTGCGTTGCAAGCTGTTGCCCTCGGCCTTGCAGAAGATGGCACTGGGGATGTTCTTTGGTTTTGCCTCCGTGGTTGTGGCAGGTGAGTGGAGGGACTCCGGGAGGGAAGCTGGCCTTTGTCTGGGGTCGGGGGAGGCTGGCTCCATTTCGGGCTAATGCTGGAGCCGTGGGCCCGGGGCCAAGAACACCTTCCTGCCACGGATGCCATCTTGGCTTCCCAGAGGGTGTGAGCTGAAGGGGACCCTCCTCCTCCAGTCCAGCCTCCCCTCGTCCTGACGAGTGAAGAAACTCAGGCCAAGAGAGGGAATAAGGTGTTCAGTGGGATGTAAGCTCCCTAAAGCCAGGGTTCTTTCTTTCTTTTTCATTTGGTGCCCATGGACACCCAGTCAATGGGCTTGATGAATGTTGCAGACACTCAACCACTTAAAAAAAAAAAGAAAGAATTTATCATTTATTCTCTTCTTTCCTCCGGTTCTAAAGGATTTGCAGCCATTTATAAAATGGTCAAGAAGCCTTTTGTGCTACTGCACAAACCTGAGTCCTCTTCAATTAGAAACTGAATGATTCTGAAGTTACTTAGCGTCTGTGAGTGCCATCTTTTCAATGGGGATACAATGGGGATTCAGCCCTGGTGCAGGACCGGGGCTCTGCCCTCACGGAATGTTGTCTAGCAGGAGTGTTCTGGGGATTCAAAAAAGCCTGTCAAACCCCCAGTATTGTGCCTGGATCACAGGTAGGAGGCAGGGGGGAATTCAAGCTGGATAAACAGTATCGTGTTAACAAGGATGAAAACCAAGCCACGTTTCTACTCGGTTCCGTGCTTTAACGCACCCTGTCCCGTTTCATCCTCAAAGCGACCCCGGGAATTTTGTTCTCACTCCTTGCACGTGAGCACTGGGTCTCAGAGAGCTTACGTGGTTTGCCCAAGGTCACACAGCTAGCCAGCGTGGCAGGGCCAGGATTGGAACCTGAGTCACCCAACACCACATCCAGCGTCCGTTCCACTACAGCACAGCTGCCTCCTAAGCAGAGAAGGGGAAAGAGAGAAAATGAAGCTTTGCAAGCCAGGTTAGAAAACCATTCTGTAACACTTGATCCTGCGAGTGGACACAAGTCGTGTGGTCGCACGGAAACGGGGCCAGCAGCGAAATCAGACACACTGGGGCTCTCAAATCCAGCCCCAACTACTCATTAGCTGTGTAACTGTGGGCTGGGTGCTTAACCTCATTTTTTTATTTTATTTTATTTTTTTAATTAATTTTATTTTATCTCATATGCAAGACTGCATATTATTTTTTTAATATGAAATTTATTGTCAAATTGGTTTCCAT